AGGGAGGTTGGGGGATCCCTGTCACCGGAGCGGTGGCAGCCGGGGCTTTCGGAACGTGCCCAGGCTGGGGAGGGAGGACGGGGAAGGGGGGAGCCTTTCCCCCGGTGAGGTGAATCTCTGGGGACGGGACGGCGCGGGGTCGGGGGAGCTGAGGGGCCTTTCCCCGTGAGATGAGGAGAGTCTCCGTGACGGGACGGCGCGGGCAGAGGAGTGCTCTGACACCCGCTGGTGAGTAGAAGGGCACGGGTGGCTGGGGACGGAGCGAGGCGGAGGAGCCCAGCGAAGTGAAAAGCAGGATTTTATGTTTTTGTTCTGGTTTTACTGCCTAAACCGAGGGGTCGCTCACCTACCCACCTGCACCCCCGCGTCTCACAGCCTGGTCGTCTCCGGCTGCCTGCCCCCTTGCTCCCGCCGCGGCTCCCGCTCACCCGTGGAGCTCTGGGGTTAGCTTTGGTTAATCTCTTTTTCTGGTTGAGCTGTGTAGGTAGCCTCCCAGCAGCTGTGCATGCATATAATTAACTGCATAAAATCCCTTAACAAATAGCTCTTGCAGAATAGTTCCTAGATGTGTTTTCTATAGATGGATAATCGTAACCTCTCTTTGCAGCTGTTTTTTAATTTGCTGTTGTCCCACATGCAATGTAATTATCATATAAATTGCTGACGATGTTAATACCTGGTTTAATAGTGTATATTCCTGAGGATTTAAGCTTTTTACTCTAATACTGTGTCTTTTTTGTTCTTTTTAACAAAGCTAGGTCTGTTCATGTAATGGATACACACATCAGGAAAATGGGACAGTTGTTGGACAATGATAAATTTTTGGAAAAAGTTGGGTAAGAATACTGTTACAAAATCTTGTTGAGATTTCAAAGTGGATAGAGAGTAACTGTAGCTTGTATAAACTATGTACTATGTCCCTTCAAAACACTTATCATATGTCAAATGGAGTGTGTAAATAAATGCCAAAATATAAACCAGTTCCTACAGAAATAACTTGTAAAGACTTTATGACAATACAGGAATATTATGGGTAATGAAATCATCCTGTAAAATTCATTGTCTTGTAGGGTGACCACAAAATCCAGTCTACAACGTGATCATCTACCATATCAAGATTTTACTATGTCTCATCTAGGACCAGATAATGAGTTGCTGGTAATGCATATCAACAAGACACAAGATCTGTTGGTAGGCGAGTTTTCCTGCTAAGCGGAGCATGTAGAAAAATAACACAAAACCCACAATAAATTGAAGGTGGGGAATAGGTTTCCTTACATATATTTGCATATATACACAGACAATTTGATAGATACAATCACTAAAGTCATGAAACTACATATAGTTTCTCTGCAGAGATGAATCTGTGAACAAATCATACAAAACAATAAAGGTCGATGAACTGTTTATACTGCATGTTTCTTTAGAAAATCAGAAGACGGTATATACCCCTTCAAACTCTGTGAGGCAGGTTTTGGAGATGCTTAATATTTCTTACCTTCTGGTAAATCACTGGGGTATTTCTTTTATTTCTTTTACTAAACTCTCTTATTTCTTGTCTTCCTGTCTCGTCCAAACTGAGATCTCCTTCCCTTTCATTTAGCTCACAATCTGAGGATATTCTGAAGCCGCCTTTTCCTTTGCATCCCACATCCAAAAGAGTATGCCAGTACCTAAAATTGTGATGTTCTTGGATATGCACTGCCTACCAGCTGCCGTCCTTAGGGCTTACGTTTTTGTCACATTTGAACAGCATATTTCATTTCTCATAGTGCATTTAGTGTTTTCTTTTTTGATTTATAGGGAGTACAAATGAAGAAAATACAGTCTAAGAAGGTGCAAACCACAGAAGAATGGCTAAGAAACTACAGTTTAGAATCATTGCAACTAACATTAGAGCATCTGATAAATGAAGGCAATATTATTTTGTAAGTGCAACACTGCCCTTTCTTTAGTCAGTCCTAATTTGTGTGCATTTCTGATGCTAATTATGCATAGTGTTCCAGGAATTCAAGAAATGGTGTTGAAGAGGTAGAGTTTACTGAAGAGACTGTTACTGATTTTGAGTCCAGACTTTCTGAGTAAGTATCCATCCTGTTTAACTGATTCTGTATCTCCATTCCCCACGATTACAGGTACTGTCTTAATTTATTATCTCTGGGATTACGGTAGGTGATAATTGTATGTCACTACAGCTGAGGGGTTTTTATTTTTTTTAATGAAGATGCTTATCAACCAGGTTTTGAACTGAAGCAGATAGTTGATTTTAGAAAGGCAGCTAGTGAATAGTTGGATTTTCGTAGGTAATACTGTGTATTTGTGGGTTATGTTTGCTGTAACTTGGATGGGTTTCAAGTAATGGATATAGCCATGATATGTGGAAGTTAAAAGTTTTCTAAGTGAATTTTAAGTGTATAAAATCAAGGAAACTGAAATTGAGGAAAGCATTTAATGAATAGGTTCAATAAGCTGTAATCGTAATGGTTTTGCTGGTCTTCACAATACTCATTAGACTGTTCCTGGAAGTGCCACTACTTCAGCATACTTCACTGTGTCAGTCAAGAAGATCCAGAATCCTCAGAAGGTCCACCTTCAGTACATGGTACCTGCACCATCTAAGCAGACTGTCTGCAAATCTGGTTTAAAAAAGAAGTAGCTGTTGTGTGTTGAAAAAACAAAAAGTTTTCCCCCCTTTGAAATGTTGATTTAAACTTTCTGCTCACCAAATTGTAAAAACTATGCGTATGGTATTAAAAATAAGTTGGTTGAAGTAAAACAATTTTAGAGGACAGCAAGCACTTTGTTTTACCTCAGGTTATACCTATTTTGAAATGAAAGTGTTAGAAGCTGTGTTGCAGTTAGTCTGGCAGTTCAGCCTTGTGATTGAAAGACAGCACTCTCACTGTATTTCATGAATGTCTTAATTGAGTTTGTATTAAATACATCTCCTGAAAATAACCTATGTGCAATGAACTAAACTCAGTTTTGCCTGAGCTTCTGTTGTTCACACTTACACATGGTGAATACCCCCTCCCCTATCTCTGACCAGAATAAGCCAGGAGCTGATTAAAAAACATTTCAGTGATCCAGTTTTTCAGACAGCTACATATCTAATTGGTCAATCAGCTTTAGGGGAAGAAGTATTTAAATGGTTTGCCCTGCAACCACCAGTTGTATGAGAACACAGAAAGCAGTATTTTTAAAAAGTGATTTTGCATGTGTTAGAAAAAGGATGTGATGAAAAGAAATGGTTGAATGTTACATTGATACAATGCGAGAGAATACCTTAGCTAAATGTGTGCTATGCCTTTTGTCAGAGTGATTGAACTTTATGAGCACCGAGTTCAGTGGCTGTTGCAGGACAGTAGAAAGGTAACTTTAACTTTGCAGTATATTTTTAGAATGGAATTATATACACCATTGAAGAATAAGTTAACTTGAATGCTAGTGAGAAGTGGCTTCCAGAAAGCTTATGTATTTTCATTATTTAGTGTGAGTTACATATCATGTGCAGTGATACTTATCTTGACAATTGATTCTTTTTCTTGATCTCTCTTTGGTGTGCAGTTTTCTGCTTTCTAGATCTAGTCTTTTTCTTTCTCTTAGCAATCTTAATTGTCAGCACCTCTCAGCGCAATGTAAACAGGAGCGAACAGTGCTGAGCTTAGTAGTCCATCATGCCCTCTCTTGCACAGCTGGTTAATCACTCACTGTGCCTAGCAGTGCTAATGTTCAGGAATGGGAAGGGGACATAACTCCCTCTCAAAGGGGACAGAGAAAGAAGCAGCACTGCAAAATCTACCTTCCACAAAGTTGCTTGATTGAACCTGAAGGAGATGCTCTAGACAAAGTTAGTTTTTATCCTCTCAAGTAATGAATAGGTTGTCTTGGGAAGGAGGGAATATGCTTCACTGGTAAGGATAAACTGGGAACCAGCAGTCCTCTCTTTTTTTCTTTTTTTTTTTTCTTGGTTTTGTCACTGTGTCATTTTTATGCTAAAATGCTTAAAGTGAAAATAAGTATCTAATACTTGATTTAAAAAATGGTGTTGTACAGAATAAGCTAACATTTGTAAACTTTAGATAAGCTTAGTATTTACAATGACTATTCTCTTTTAAGATATTTGGCCTTATAAAAGGAACCAAAGTTGGACTTGTGGTTGATGTGTCTCATATGAGTTACAGACCTAGACTACTGGATTTTCAGAAGGACCTTTTGGTAAGTAATGATAAAGCAGACTTTGGCAATTATAACATACTAATCAAGCTTTTGTATAACTACAAGCCAGGAACTAAGTAGGAAAAAATCTGCTTAAATTCATAATATACCTCACAACAGAAGTTTTCTGTTGTAGAAAAGTATATTTTAAATGTCTTTGAAAGTTTAGTCTACATCCAAACAAATTCCAGTATGTACTATAATAATAATACTTTCCTTATTAGTATTTGGAAGTTTCTCAATTCTTGTACCAGCATTCTCTATGGAATAAACTTGCCTGACAGAAACAGCGTAAGAGCTAGAACCAAGTTATACACAGAGCTGTATATAAGAAACACAGTTTCCTTATGCCTTTATGTTTTGTCACAAGGCACACTTCACAATTTTGGTCAGAACCTTGGTGAGTTAATCACTTCCTGAAGTCACAAAAGAAACTTGTCCTTTATTGTGCTCTTTAATTTTATAAAACTTTTTTAGTAAGGAAGGAAGGTATAATGTAGCTGGTTTACTACCTAATTTTGAAACTTTATTTGAAATTTTATTTCTTGCATTCAGAAATTATTTAAAATCAATTTATATTATCTACAGTTTTCATTTGTGTGTTTTAAATAAAACTCTTCCAAGAAAACTCGATTTCCACGTAGTCTGGTTTGCTTAGCCTAAATACCTGAACTACTGTTTACCCCTATCCATGCATATGTATTAAACATCTTTTAGTAATTGCTTGGTGGGTGAATACGCCCATTCTAGATCAGTATGTTGTTTCATGTGCTTGTCAACCAAAGAGAAAAACTGATACCAGTACAACAAATTCTCCCTTCCTCCTGTCCCATTAATAAATGTGCTGGATTACCATAGGTTTGCATGTTTTGTTTCTGTACTCCTTACCAAATACTTGAATCTGTATGACTTTATCTGGAAGCTTTTTTCTGTGATAGCTGAAAATACTGCTGTCAACTGTTTTTAGGAAATTACCATTTTTATTCTTTTACATACTAACCCTACTAGAAGCAGCATGGATAGTAATGCATTAATATTTTTTTATTTATTAGTGCTTAATAGATGAACAGCTATGTTATAAGAAGCAATTGTACTGCCTCTCATTCAGTACAGAAATTTCACCTCTGTGGGAGAGTCCAAAAAACATCAATGTTCATGTGTAAGTAAGTTTGCTTCTCTGAAAAATAAAGGTGTTTCAAAGGTCGTCTCCATTTAATTAGAGCAATCTCTTGCAGATAATAAATAGTGTTTTTTGTCTCGTGCCTGCAGTGACCTGTAAAAGGGGAAAAAACCTAATGAATTTTAAGCACAGTCAGTGATTTCAAGCTGGGTGTTCATGCATTAAATATCTTACCAGCTCCTGTGATTTGTAGTGATCTTCATGATCTACATTATTTAGCACCTGCCCATTAAGTGTACGTATTTCCTTTTTTCTTTCCCCACTAGGCTACATGAAGCAAGACAGTGGATACAACAGCTGGAGCCTGGTCGAGGCTGCAATTTGCTGAAAGCCTTAAAACATGTCTCTATGATGAAAGAACTGAATTCTCTGGTTCTTATTGTAGGAAGCTGGTAAATTAATTATCCGTCCTAACAACCAGTTCTAACTTTGATATAGAATTGGTACAAAAATCTGAACCTGATACAAAAATAAATGGAAAAAATAAGATCCAGGTTTTATGTGGTTTTAGTTCATGCCACTAAATAAGTTTATTTCTTCCCTTTTTTACTATTTATAAATTTTCTCTTTTCTGATATAAAGTTATGTTTTTCCTTGCAAATCAGTTACTGCAGTAATCTATAGAGAGTCTGCTAGCTCAAATGTTACATCAATAAAAATCCTTCAGCATCATTAAGGATGTCACTGAAAGGGTCCACACCTCTGGGAAGATTAGATGATGAGCTAGATTTTACTGTAAAATAGCATTAAGCATTCAAAGATAGTCTTCTCGCTGTCATCTTGGTGCTGATGGAAAACTTAAAATGTCTGATTAAATAAATGAAACCAGGCTGAGATTAGATAAATTAAGGACTTAAATTCTGCAGTTCTACTGTCATCATTTGAAAATGTGCAGCACTGGAGTCAGGATTACAAGAAAAAGACTAGAATAAGGATTCTGGGAGTGTTCCGGTATTCCTAATTTATTCATTGTATTTATTTTAAGTGTGCAAAAAAGGGATGGTGTAAGCTTGGCAAACTTGATGTTTAGGGTGATTGAGATTTCATTTCAGCTAACTTACTGAACACACAGTGTTCAGCTAAAAGGTTCCAAGTTTTGCTTAGGTCTGCTTTGAATAGAAAGCAAAAGTTTTTAGTATGTGCAAGTGAAAACTTCCTTAATTTCTGTCCCTGGCAGAAGTGTGGCTGGAAGGAAAGGTTTTTACTAGCCATGAAGAACCATCAAAACCCAGGAAATGAAAGATGTGTGGGTCTCCAAGTTCTAAATACAATGCAAAGTTTTACTTTCTTTGGTGCCTTTGGAAGACAATAGGCATCCTTACATGCAGTTGAAGATTCAAGTTGCAAACTTCTCTGTCGCAGTTTGTCACAGGGGACAAAACCACAGTTTGATTTTTAGCTTCCAGGGCTAGCAAGGAATAATTTAGAACATTTCATCCACAAGCTGTTATGAACTGGAATAGCATCTTAGTGCTTTTATTATCGTTCAGGTTTTCAGGACAGAACCAAACCCCAGCAGTGGTACCTCAGTAATTGTTGAAAGAGGGAGGTCAAGTTATGCTAAATCACTGGATTACATTCCCATGATTTGTTATATCTTCCCTCTTTGTTTTCTTCCCTGTCTTCTCCAGTATGGCTTTTTTTTCCCCATTTGATTACTGCCACTGTTAATACCTGGTTTTCCTTTTTTATTTATTTATATCAGCCCTGATCAGTCTTTGGAAATACTGTCTGACTATGCTCAGCAGTGTATGCTGGGGAGGAAACTGCAGACTCATGCTGTTACGTATGATTGCAGCAATGTTGCTTCTCTTGTAAGTAATTGTGTTAATAATTAAGTGTCCTGATATTTGTTTCCTATTCAGCTGCAATGTCTTCTCTCAGACTTGTGGGGAAGCTAACCTACTCAGTAAAGAGTTTTTGATCTAGAGTTGTATTTTCTTTAGAGGAGATTTGTACACATAAAAAAAAAATTGTTTGGAGCATTCATCTTGATTCATACCAAAGTCAGAAGTGGCAACCAAGTGGTGCTGACAGGCTTGGCAGCTGAAGGGAAGCAGTTATTTCCAGATAATCATCCTATGTGTTTGCAGAGAAGGCTTTGGGACTAAGAGTTCTTTTGCAGGTGAAAACAGAAAAATAGGGGACTTCAGGTAGGCGATGCAGTAAGGACAAGTGGGTAGGGAGAGGGATCATAGGGGAAAGGCAAGGACTTGGGGTTGATATCATACAAATATGGCAGTCTCTGGGATAGGAATATTTTTGTGTGGAATAGCATCAGTGCAAGACCCAGCAGCCCTGCTCAAGTTACAGTGTTGATCATGAGCAATGGTTTGGATGCTAACAGTGATTGCCTGAAGGAAGAGGAGAACAGAAGGATAAGCAGTTACTTTTGATTAGCTTCTGCATAGAAGCTTGGTTTTAGGTATTCGTTGCTTGTTTAAGCTTTTCCTTAAGGCATGTAGTGACTTAAGTGGCAGGGAGGACTCAGTTGAAATCCTGGTTTGAAGAGAAGATTGGATGCAGTAAGGGTATTGCAGTCATGAGGAAAAGGGTTGCAGTGGTAGATGGTAGGAGAGAAGGAGATGGGAGAGGTGAAAAAAGTAGCAAAGGATTTAAGAGGTAATTGTGGGCAGGGGAAGGATAGCCTAATACTTATACTTGTAGACTTCAGCCTTTGATCTGATTAGCACAAGCCTGCCTTCAGAGGAAGAGAAAGTGGCTGGCATTTTAACACAAGGTGAATGAACTTGACCCTTATTGCCTCTTTTGTAAATTTCTTTACTGAGGGAGTTTTTCAGCCATATTAAAATAAGACTGGTAAAAAAATTACTTTGGCTTTCTCACTACATGTACCTCAAAGGTTATTTCTCTATTTCTAATTGAGAATTGAAAGCCAACAACCCATGCTATCAAATGCTACCAAATCAAAGTAACTATTTTTCTTCCTATTTATATCTGTAGACAGTTCTAAAGAACCTTGCAGAAGCTGTAAGAGGCCGTTATCATTGCTACTCTTCAAAAGGAGAGGTAGGTGACAGCTAGAGAGGTAAAGCATTTTTCTGTCTTTTTGATGATTCTGCACTTTGAGAAGGTAAACTAATTATCGTCTGAGTAGAAGTTTATAGCAAGACCTGGTGCTGAAAGTCTCTGTCATAGAAGTGCTGAGGATGTGGTAAATAAACCTGTGGTTAATTCTTTCTGCAACTGAAAATGCTTTCCTAAAAGCACAATAAATTTTGCAGATATTGTTCACTGACTTAAAGGTGATGAATAGGATGAAAGCAGTGGCTTATTGTAGACTGATTCAAAAATAATATAGTACCTTGTGTATAAAATTATTAATAACTTGTATGCAGTGCATTAGATACATTTACACTCAATTCTGCTGTGGCAGGCAGTCTTGTATAGATGTATGCACGTCAAAGTAAGAAAGCTGTGTTTGTTTAGTATTTGAATAGTAGGTAACTTTTCCCCCCCCCTTTCTTTTTATATGTACAGAATTTTGATAGCAGTGATGTTCATCTGCTACTTCAGGAATCCCAGAAGGCTAAGGACCTGCTCAAGAACATCAAACAAACTTTTCAAAGAAGAATTGGTGGATCACTTATTAGAAGAATAGCAGATGTATGTATTTTTTTGTTTTCGTATGTACTTTGAAGTATCAGGGGTAGAAATTTTTAGTGTTCACAACATGAAGAAAAAATATGTTCTTAATCTGGTATTTTGATAAGTGACCTCTGAATATTATGTATTGGCCGTCCATTGTAAGAGCAAATTAAGGCCAAAACCAGTAAAGGAGACATTTTGCTAGACATTCTCCAAAATGCAGCAAGTTTTATAAACCAACCAAAATGTGATGAAAAGAAGATTGTACCATGATCATAGTGGAAATCGAAGAGAATCGCCAGCCTAACTGTATGCATAATCATTTAAAGGAAGTTCCAACAGTTCTTTAAATTGGTAAAAAGTTAGTTACTCCTGCCTGATTAGGGTGGACAATGCAAAATCATAAGGGTTTCTCTAGATACATTAGAATCATAGAATGTTTTGGGTTGGAAGGGGCCCCTAGAGGTCATCTAGTCCAACCCCCCTGCAGTGAGCAGGGACACTGCTAACTAGATCAGGTTGCTCAGAGCCCCATCCAACCTGTCCTTGAATGTTTCAGGGATGGGACCTCCACTACCTCTCTGGGCAACCTGTTCCAGTGTTTTACCACCCTCATTGTAAAGAATTTCTTCCTTATATCCAGTCTAAACCTACCCTGTTTTAGTAGGCCCAACTCCCTCAGCCTGTCCTCACAGGAGAGGTGCTTCAGCCCTTGGATCATTTTTGTAGCCCTCCTCTGGACCCGCTCCAACACTTCCATGTCCTTCTTGTGTTGAGGGCTACAGAGCTGGACGCAGTACTCCAGGTGAGGTCTCACCAGAGCAGAGTAGAGGGGCAGAATCACCTCCCTTGACCTGCTGGCCAC